ATACAAAAGGTCAATATTACTTTCAAGGAATTCGAGGAATTCAAACGCTCTGTGTTCTTGTTTTTTCTGTAGGGCGTACCAAGTATCCTGAGCCATAAAATCATCAACGTGCTTTAATACCTGCCCAAATTCCTTTCAGTTAGAACATACGAAGTATAAGGTTTAATGTTTCACAGACCCTTGGATGACTTTAAAAAAACATCCACATGGATTAAGTAAAGATGCTCTTGTGTTTTTACATATATGACTGCCTCATAATTCTACATGAATGTCTTCGAAGGTGATCCTGAAATTTAGGACTCGTTCAGCTTACGGAGGATTTATACATATCTTACACTTGCAAAGTCCCCAGTCGTCTTGAGTGATGTAAGAGACATGCTTCTTTAAAACATATAATCACAAACCATGTGATTAATGTTTTATTTTGCCTGACAAGCTGAAAGGTTGATTATCCAGAGACGCTGAATCTTCAAAAGGAAGTGATTTTTAGATCACAGCCTATTCATGGAGCTGCTAGTTTCCTCTAATAGCTGTCGTCAGGGGAACAGACTGGATTATTGCGATTCAGGTGAGCTATAACGCCGTGGCATAATTCTTTTTCTTATTTCATCCAGCAATGTCTGAGATCATCGAAAGTGTGCAAAATACGAGTTTGCCAAGTGGACATTACTGCACATGTTATTGCGTGTTGGTGTCTTGGAAGGAGACTCTGATCTGCAGTTGTACAAGTGTACTTCATCTCGGGAACACAAAGTCTTGTGACCGCAGGGAAATAACATGGACGGGGATTGATCTTTTCTAATTATGCAATCAAACGATTTCAGATCCAAGAAATGAAAGGTTCAGTAAGAAATGTCCAGTCAATTATAATTCTTCGGCTTCCATCAAAGGAACTCATTATGCCCGCACGGCTGTCATAGACACATTTAATGTTGTTAATGAAATTGCTGACTGACTGACTGAGTTTGGTTTTACGCCGCTTTTAGCAATATTCCAGCAATATCACGGCGGGGGACACCAGAAATGGGCTTCACTCATTGTACCCATGTGGGGATTCGAACCCGAGTCTTCGGCGTGATGAGCCAACGCTTTAACCACTAGACTACCCCACCGCCCGTTAATGAAATTGAATAAGATAACGACTTTCATATTTTAGGCCAACCCAATATTGTTGGCAAGGTATACAGATGCCGTCAACAATGAAGCCTTTGAGCCACTAGGTATATCCCTAACAAGGTTTGTTTTCGAGAACCATAACCAGGTTTGTGATTAACATTTAATTTACATACATCAGCTCGAATGTACCGAAATACGGGAAACCATCATTTTATTATATCCAAAGTTCCGCCATTCGTTTTGATGCCTATGAACCTCTGCCCTCCATGTGGGGTGGGGAGCGGGATCGGTGGGGATCATGGTTCTTATTCTAAAGTATACGCAACATTTCTGGAAAAGAAATATGAATTATTTTTCTAAATTTTACATGGACATGTAAATATGAGCCGTCTTGTTCTTTCCATATCGATTCCAGTGCAACACAGAAATACTCGTATGTCTTCCTCGTTGTTAAGATCAACATCACATATAACACGTATTCAATAGCTTTATTAATTGAATATCAATTATAAGACACAACCTACAATTAACTATTGATAGGTAAGAACAGTATAATCCATAAAATATGAAAGAAACATTTTTGAACAGAACAATATTTCATATAATTAGTAAACTCAACTTTGAAACATTTTCGTGACTTTTATAGGATGACTTTTGCGTTTGTAAATAACGAAGGTACTTGCAAGAAATGCGATGACAAACTGCCCTTAATGTGGTCGAGGTATTGAGGGCGAACGTCATTGTACAGTTGTGTGGTGAACGTTGGGTGTTATTAATATTTACCTATGACGATGTCAAAAATGAGAAATGAAATTTAACAGAATAATCAAATCATAATGCTTGTTTATTAATCATGATTATTACAGAAAAGGCATGATGCACATTGCCACTTCCATACATGTAAATTGTTAAGTGTATATCGGTGTTAGACTTTCATTCTGAATAAAGCACTGATTGATGAACTCCAGAACTATAAGTGCCAATATGTCGCAATGTTGGATTGCAGGGCATTGGGGAAATCAGTTCTGGAATTCTTGTCAAATTTGTCACTTGTTTTTCATCTGCTCCGAGAAAATTGCTCTCACCTCTTTCATCATCGCTCACTCCGACGACAGTTACGGCACTGATAAGGACTTGCGGTTGAAGCAGTGGATGCAGTTTGACGTCGTATAATGCTTCAATTTCCACAACAGCCTGATGTATTTTATAAACGCCTACCATGATGTCAGAGATTCATCAAAGCTGTAGGTGATGGAACTTCAGCCAAAGGCGGCCATCGCTTGTATTTCTGTATAAGAATGGGGGAAAAGTGTTCGTGGAATCTTGTGGTATAGTAGTCCAGTCGCAGCTGGCCATTAGACCTAAAACATTGAACAATGATGTCAGAGGTTCATCAAAGTGATGGAGTGAGTGAGTGAGTTAATATTTAACGTCACATCGGCAATATCTCAGCCATATAGTGACGTATCAAAGTGATGGAACTTCAGCCAGCATCCAAAGGATATAAGAACCGTATATTCCGGAATATAAATGGCGGTGTAGTAGTCACATGATCGCTTACATCACAGCGGAACATTAAACCTATGTAGCTGGGCGTACGCCTGTTATATCCTTTATGTGATTGTTATCATTCTTGCCTAAAAACTAAACCGGTATTACTTACTTTCGATGAAGCATCTTGAGTTACTTCACTTAACAAGGACGGTGGGGTGGCCTTGTGGTTAAAGCATTCGCTCGTCACGCCGAAGACCCGGGTTCGATTCCCCACGTTGGTACAATGTGTGAAACCCATTTCTGGTGTCCCCCGCCGTGATAATGCTGGAATATTGCTAAAAGCGGCGTAAAACCAAACTCACTCACTCTCACTCATCTTAACAGGGGTCAAGTTTGACCAACTTGTCAAAGGGGAGGGAACTCGCTATACACAAATACCCGCTCTTATATCTAAATTCCTAAATTTGGTTTAATAATCAGCGGTAAACATTCCAAATCTGTATCACTACGGTCTTCCCCCTACATTAAGCTGTCACATAATAATATAGCTAAAATATTAATATCAAACATGACGTTGACCTGAACTACATCATCTTATACTCAGAGGCAGGTGTTATTGTGACGTGGACTTTTTAATGGGTTACCTTGTGAATGAATGTTTGGTTTTGAACCAGAGAAAGAATCTGGCGAAACAAACGCAACAAAACAGTTGGTGTTCGAATTGCAAGAAAACTGCAAGAAGCATGAAATATTCAGGAAGGTTACCCAGCAAAATGACAGATGGAGAGCTACAAGTGTCCTTCAGTCTGGTACACAGTATAGAATCACTAGGGGCGGTGGGTGGCCTAGTGGTTAAAGCGTTGGCTCGTCACGCCGAAGACCCGGGTTCGAATCCCCACAAGGGTACAATGTGTGAAGCCCATTTCTGGTGTGCCCCGCCGTGATGTTGCTGGAATATTGCTAAAAGCGGCGTAAAACCAAACTCAGTCAGTCAGTCAGTAGAAACACTACCTGAAGAGGTTTTCAGCAAAACAATCAAGTTTTAGTTACGTAACGTATAGTAACGCCCCACGCCAAGACTCTGACATGATGATATTGTATGTACTATATATTGCGCTAACTTTCAAACACAAAGTGTATGTTAAAAGCGCCAGCATTACTGTATACACAATAACCCAAGCTGCCTATGAGGCGCTAGACGGTTAACAGTCATGAGCTTTTCATCCAACTGGGTACTCATTCACTGCTTGGTGAACAGAGGCAAGTTTGAACAAAGTTACTTGCCAAGTCCAAGAAACTCTCAGTGCTGCCTAATATGGTCACTGCTGGGTGAACAGAGGCAATTCTGAACAAAGTCACTTGCCAAGTCCAAGAAACTCTTAGTGCTGCCAAATATGGTCACCCATCCAAGGACTACGTTGCGACCAACATTGCTTAACTTCAACTGATCTGTGACCTGCCCTCTTTGTACTACCCCACACCCATACATAAACTGGTGAACAACTGATGATTGTCCAAGTGGTTCGTGATAAGCGTCTAATTGTGTTTGTTTGTTGCTTGACGTCGCACTCACCAATATCTCAGCTATATGATGGCGACATGTAAATAATCTAGTCAGGACCAGACAATCCAGTGATTGACATCATGTGTATCGATTTAAGCAATGAAAATATTCATTTCATGGTGGTTTTGTTGGCGTAATAGTGTTACCAGTGTTGATACCAGTAGTAATAACTAGTGTAGGGAATTGGTTAAATCTCATAATTGATGATTGGTTCATTACTACCGATCAATCATCGAAAATAATTGGTTAACGTCATTTATGAAATTTGTTAATGCACATAAAAATAAGGAAAAAAACATGTAGTTCTTTGGGGTTTTTTGGGCAAAATTTCACATCTTTAAAGGATGACTAGTATGTTAGGAACATATATTTCTTTGAATCTTTGAGATAAAATCAATCATGACTTGAAACGAGCTTGTAGTGCTTACGAAATGTAACAGACAAAACCAACCATGTGAAAAATATTGTTAATGAAAACAAGTGTTCCAGAGTTATTTGTGTTCGATTATGAGAAATTATGATCGATTGCTTGGTCGACCAATCTTCGATTATTTCAATTAATCGGACCACCACCAGTAATGACACAGAACACAATACTGCATGCGACGGTAGACACACTTTTTCATCCTGGACACAGCTAATTATACAAAGACCAGTTACGATACTGGCCAGTGCAAAATGAAATGCACATTTTACCAACGTCCTATAAATATTCATCAATAAAATAAAACAACAATATTCAAACACGCATTGGCACCGTGCAACGTTTTCAATAATGATAATGACATTGTTACTTAGCGTGCATACGTTTTAGATAACTACTGCCCAGAAACTGATTACATTCAGCAACTATTAAGGTCGGGTGGAACAACTTAGGAATGGTCAGCAAGTCCTAACCTGAAACACAGAAGGAAGCATGCTACGATGACATATTTCATATCACTGGAAAGATCTCGCTGAGATAAATCCAAAAACCTGTTCATAAACTCACAAAATGTGTCTGAAAATGCATTTCTGCAGAAAATACTAGCAGAAATGTTTTTCTGCTGAAACTTCTGTCAGAATGTCTTTTGTTCTGCAGTAATAACTAGCAGAATTCTTTTAATTCAGCAAAATCTAGGTTCTATCTTCGGATAGTTTAATATGGAGTTTCTTTAAATGATATTTTCCCTAGTAAACTTTTCTGTAGTTTAAAGTTTTATAAGACAAGAATACACACAGAGGTGCTTGTTATCGCATATATATTATATATAATGCAGTACATTTAATTATCATTCCTAGACATTCTGATGTCGCTTTCAACTGAACCAGCTATATTGCATACACCACTTTAATCATCTTCTTCATAGCAGCTCGCTTCAGGGAAGGATAGATGCAACGCCAGGGCCAGATGAATCTCTTCTGAAAGTACCCTCATCAAACGATAAGACATCTCCCTTGGCCCTGAGACAAAACGCTGATGTTTTGTAAGTAGGGAATTAGATCAATTTACTACAAAATTGAGTTCACCTCAAGACATCAGTCAAGATTCTTTTTGTCTGCGAGGTCCAATGTCTGGCTGCTGATTGTACAATTGCAGTTTAATGTAAGACTACGATCGAATCGATTGACGTAAGCGAGAGGGCGAATAAAATCCAGAGCAACAACGCTTTTTCACAGCGGTCGAATTGTACAACCTGGTTACATAGATTTTTTGTCAGTTTTCCAAACACAGCTGTGTCGTACGAGATGTAAGACAGTATCATTAATGCTGAGTGAAAGACTGCCAAGAATGTTTTGTTAGGTAGGTTTGGGTAGGTTAAATATCAAAGAACTCTACGAGATTGAACTCGTTCAAATTGGGTACTGGTTTCATGTAAGATGACTTACAATGTATTCTATCCCCGGGTGTGAATGGTGATACAAACAAACCGGCGATATGTATTGAAAGGTTTGCAAACACTAGAAAAGGGATATTGGAGTTGTCATGTTCATATATCGTACATAACATATGATATTACAAGAGGTGTATTGCAAAACGTTTTGCATGCTATGAAGAAGTGTACTAATGTATCAAAATATGAGAAAACCACAATATATCTGTGGTTTAAATTAGTATTAGAGGATTTATATTAGAGTTGTAATTATTACTCACTTAAACTTTGTATGTACTCAAACTTCAATGTTGAAATATCCGTTGTTAGTTGTAGGTTTACCGTATTCCAATTTCAGGATTTAATGATTCCATCACAGACAGTTCCCTGGGATCAATCTAGCCATTAAATAGTTTTCTCCGAGATAGATTATACATGTAAGAAACGATACAATACCGATTCTGAACACATATTCATACTAACATCGAACATATGTTTTCAATGCACAAATCTGGCTTTAACCTCTGTGTAGTGCGGGGGATGACCTCGAAAGATGATCAACTTATGTAGTCATATCAAGTTGGCGTCATAAGCGTCAGCATCTAGTTTGTCTGTTATGAACCTGATTGCCATTACGGTTAAGCCATAACTGCATTAGTTGACGTGGGGACATCATTAGGACAGGCCACATGGTCATTTGGAACCCGAAGTTCAAGGTCGTTAGTAGAAGGGGTGTTGAATGCTATGTGAGTGAGTGAGTGAGTTAATATTTAACGTCAGGTCGGCAATATTTCAGCCATATCGTGACGAGAACACATTTGACATTGAAATGGAATATGTGTATAGTATAAAAACCTGTCATCAAAGGACAGTAAAACAACTAGAATATCACAAATACAATTAAAACTAGTGTAGAAACTTAAAACTAATAGCACTATTAGGACAATATAAGATAAAAGCAGGCTATAGATCGCCAACAACCGAAGGCAGATCACCATACGAGGGTCCATGGGGACTTACAGTGCCTTTGCTACGTGCATGGACCCTAGTTGGATTTACACCATCCCTTCAGCCGCTCGCGATTGTAGGAAAAGTTTAACCGACTTTTAAAGAAACAAATATACTACGTTTAAAATCGGGTTAGCAAAAATTTAACTTTGAAAGTTTTGGGACTTACGTACCGATGAATGCTATGTAATGCGATGTGATGTGATTCTATGTTATTTGTCTGTCATACTCTGAAACTTTACAACGTCACGATGCTTGTACCACAACACAGTGTGATTCTTTATACTGAAGTTATTTCAAATTTGTTCGCGAGTTGTGCGATGGAGCTCATGTCACTGTATAAACTCGTGGACGTGACAAATTGAAGTAAAATGCCTCAAAAGAGCACCATCGAATTTAAGATGTATTCTTAATGTGTCTATGCATCCGTGGTGTTACATCCCAAGACAATCAGTATTGTGGCTCAAGAAGGTGTGTCTAACACCATGAAAGTTTCATCCTTGTATCAAACAAATTAGGTAAACTAATCTTAAACCGAACACATCCAATTTTTTCAAAGAAGCATCAGCTCCGACATTTTTGTTATAGTGTTAAAATGTATGATCCAAATTTATAATGTTCCGAGAGAACATAATATGGCCGCTATTACATGGCGATTCCTGACGATGCAAGAACGGATTCTAATATGGTCAGGACTGTACAATCGACTCTACTTCAGGGACAAATTTCTTATGAATATGGAAAGCGTTTGATTTATTTCAAGTATTTTCACGAGAATCTTTTCCATATGCGTAATATGACGCCACAAGACTTCACGAACAATCGATGACGCAATTCATTACTTGATAGCGCGTTGATATGACGTCACGTTGATATTAGCCAAGACTCAGAGACTGAAAATAACTGAATTTGCGCGAACTAACCAAAATGCATGACCCAAATTTATAATGTTCAGAGAGAACATTATATGTCCGCTATTACATGGCGATTCCTGACGATTCAAGGACGGATTCCAATATGGTCAGGACTGTACAATCGACTCTACTTCAGGGACAAATTTCTTATGAATATGGAAAGCGTTTGATTTATTTGAAGTATTTTCACGAGAATCGTTTCCATATAACCGCAGACTGGTAGACGACTGTATTGGTACAGCTACAATTCAACTCCCCACCATCAGAACCAAAGCTCAACGCAAACGCCGCCTAACTGTGCAAAATACACGGTAAGCTGTGATGTACGTATACAGTAATCTCTCTTATCAATAATTACGTCCAATATTACTGACATAAAGTGTATAATAAATAGAATATTTATACTGTCTTGCCACATTCCATGTTTATATCATCTCGTGAATGGGGCGAGTTAAATATTTACTCTCTGGGCTACGTCAATCACAAGGCTATCTATACTTGCTTCTTATTTTTCTGACGAGATTACGTGGAATTTGGTCAAGGAGGCCCGACTAGGTTTTATGTCATATTGCGTGGAAACATAAGCGGGTGTCGTAATAAATCTCCATCAGTGGGCCAGTTGACATGAGAGAACCTTCAACATCCTACACGGGGATTTACGAGTGACGTGGAGGGATGTGTGTTAATGTAAGTTGCTCAGTGGCTGAAAGTAGAGGTGATCACCCCCTCTTATGCCACTGACAAGAGCATATAGCCTTCGTCATGAATCAGTCTGGAGTAGATGTGTTTGTATGTGCGGATGGTAGAGCGCACTTGTGCTTGCCTGCGTTTGAGTGGGTGTAGGTAGGGTAGATGGTCAGCAACCAGTAAATGGTAACGGTTTAAGTATGTTACACGACCAGGAACTGTAGTGAGTGAGTGAGTGAGTGAGTGAGTGAGTGAGTGAGTGGATGGATGAGTGAGTGAATGGATGAGTGAGTGAGTGGATGGATGAGTGAGTGGATGGATGAGTGAGTGAGTGAGTGAGTGAGTGAGTGAGTGCGTGAGTTTGTTTTAGCGTCGCTTTGAGCAGTATTTCAGTTCTATTACAAACCCCGCCAGGCCAAATATAGAACAAACACACATCGTTGCGTCCTCCCCGGTGACACTCTCCCCAAGGCATGTACTCACCAATATTTACTGAATCGCGTCAATTACATCAACAGGTCAGCTCTCTTAGTTCGGATCCACTTAACAAACCATCTCACTGTATGACGCATGTACCATAATCCACGCTCACTTGCGGTTCAGAGCCGTAAGTGTCACTACGGCAACATTCCGTCTTCAAGCAAGACTGCCACACCTGTCGACAGAAAATGGCCATGATCATGATAATGCATAATGCACAATGCATACTGATATTAAAACAATGGGAACTAGACTGCGTCGTTCCGGCAACACCACAGGAGAGATTGAGCAACCCGGCTTAACAGGCCCTTGTATAGTATATACCCCATCCAGTATCGCCCTCTACCAAAGGTTATCTCCCTTATTTCTGACTTTACCACAAAAAGAGAAATCAATTCCATTCAAATTCTCCCTGTTCAACCGAATGAATTTCATTTACATCGAGAGAGGCCATTTTGATGCGTAGGGGTAGTCAAATTGAAGCATTAATTGAACCAAAATAAATAAACACAGTCACGGCGACTCTGGGATTCGAACCCACGATAACCTATCTGGCATGTCTAAATCACTAATGACTGGGACAACTGTACAGCTTATTCTCTGCACGACACTACTCGTAACCTATAAGGTATGGTTCATTGTTGATCCCTCAAACAAGAGAACATTGTCTACCACTTTTGGGCACGAAAACAAGAAATGGTTTTAGAGTGATAGGTCATCGACAGCAAATTATAAGTCTACTGACAAATATTCCCCTCTTACTGTCAATACTGTAATCGAGGCTTTTATTCTGAAACTGAAGGGTTTTTTGTAGCTTCCATGTTTCTGAAAGCAGAACGTCCACTTTGGTTATCCTCATGGTATTTCTGGTTATCAATGACATGGCAGTAGGTTTCTTAAGTCAACAATATTGTCAGAGGACCTACTGGGGAAATTGTCAGAACTGTCAAAAATATCGACAGAAGTGAAGGAGAAACACAATACTCTTACCAGGTTACACATTGCCAGTTCTCTGGCTTAACGGGATATCAACACGTTCAATGTCAGTTATTTTTTAATATAAGTTCTCATGATAATACGTCTCATTTTGAAAGGTGATGTATGTGCTCTGACGCTTGTTCCTCGGTGCAATCATTTTTTAAACTCACGTATAACTAATGTGGTGACAGAATCAATATGTTTGTTTGTTGCTTAATGCCGCACTCGACAATATTCCTTAAGACGATGGCCTGTAGACATGACATCTCGTTCTCGACAGGACACCCAGCGGGACTTAGCCACGGGACTATATAAGAGTTTCCATTCTGTTGAAGTCCTATAACATTTGCGTGTCAGTATGGGAGGGGGCGTGTGTGTGTGTGTGTGTGTGTGTGAGAGAGAGAGAGAGAGAGAGAGAGAGAGAGAGAGAGAGAGAGAGAGAGAGAGAGAGAGAGAGAGAGAGAGAGAGAGAGAGAGAGAGAGAGAGATGTCTAGCACCATCGTCCGAAGTATACTTTAAGTAGAAAGCAACAGTGATCATGTATTTGTTAGCATAGTGCTACACTTAGTCCCTGAATATATATAATTTTGATACTCTCAAATAAACCCATTTAAACTAAAATGGAGCCCGAGAGGGTTAGGAAAGTCTGAACGTGAAGAAATCTAGACTTTCTTTATTCAGGACTTTGGCATTGCAGAGAGGGCTAAGCAATAAGGAAAATAATGTGGTTCAGGGACTGTGAGACAGACTAGCATTGTGCAAATAATCCTTCCTCGAGTTTCAGGAATATCATATAACCATCTTATTCTTATAAATGCCCTGGACCTTTTCTCCATAATGGCTTCGCTCCGGAAGTGACGACATGACACCCACCCCAGCACCATGTACATTCATTTAGAAAATGAAACGTTTCTCGCTCATTAGAGTTATTTGATTGGACGGATTTTATAAGGTCGCACAACTGATATGATACACAAAAAACTAAGTTATGTCCTAAAGCAAGAACAGACATTTTTTTTATTTCGGCCTATATTTCGACTCTCGAAACATTATTTTGACCAATTAAATTGTTCTCAAATTGCAAATTAGATTCTTACACATCACAAACATATAGTATTAAAGTTTAACTGGCCTTAAAGTAAGTTACATCAAATTCTCATGGAAACATTGTTAGGTGCGGCGTTGAGCAACAAGCAAGTCATCAAATGGATTCACAGTTAAGGAACACTTCAGACATGAGTGGCAACCAGGGTTGCATCGTGACATATGTTAGCCCAGAGGAAATTCCGGGGATTATTTGTTAATGCAAGTAGATACACACAAGACTGAGTTAAAGCCAGATGGGCAGTGGAGGTACTTATTGTGTTAGTGTCCCTGGGCACAACTGACACAGATTAAGTCTGTCAACCATAGTAATTGATGAGCTGCCATGTTGCACTACTCGTTCTAGGTGGCTGACCGTACATGCGCACTACAATAGGGACTTTTAACAGTCGGGACTAGCATCTTCCAATTAATGCATTTGAGTAATTCTAGGCATATACATACCTTGGGAAAATGGTAAATTAGTCTTTGGAATTAGACTAACATACAGGCCGACCAATGTCGTAATTAGTTCAAGACTGAATTGCTGTGGATTAACAGAATGTCCACATTGATCCAGGTATTTAATCTATAAATTCACAGCAACATGCATGTATTATTCCAGCATCCGTTGTCTCCAGCCGATCAACTTCCAAAACTAACGCTTGGTACAGCGGATATCATTTCTCTACACAGTGATCCACTGGTTCGTTATGTGGCTATCTGATCTACTTCTGTAACTAGCATTGGGTAAAGGGGATGTACATACTCTGCACAATGATCATTTGGTTCGTTATGTGGCTATCTGATCTACTTCTGTAACTAGCATTGGGTAAAGGGGATGTACATACTCTGCACAATGAACATCTGGTTCGTTATGTGGCTATCTGATCTACTTCTGTAACTAGCATTGGGTAAAGGGATGTACATACTCTGCACAATGATCATTTGGTTCGTTATGTGGCTATCTGATCTACTTCTGTAACTAGCATTGGGTAAACTCTGGGATGTACATACTCTGCACAGTGAACATCTGGTTCGTTATGTGGCTATCTGATCTACTTCTTTAACTAACATTGGGTAAAGGGATGCACATACTCTGCACAATGATCATCTGGTTCGTTATGTGGCTATCTGATCTACTTCTGTAACTAGCATTGGGTAAAGGGATGCACATACTCTGCACAATGATCATCTGGTTCGTTATGTGGCTATCTGATCTACTTCTTTAACTAACATTGGATAAAGGGGATGTACATACTCTGCACAGTGAACATTTGGTTCGTTATGTGGCTATCTGATCTACTTCTTTAACTAACATTGGGTAAAGGGGATGAACATACTCTGCACAGTGAACATCTGGTTCGTTATGTGGCTATCTGATCTACTTCTTCAACTAACATTGGGTAAGGGGATGTACATACTCTGCACAGTGAACATCTGGTTCGTTATGTGGCTATCTGATCTACTTCTTTAACTAACATTGGGTAAAGGGGATGTACATACTCTGCACAATGATCATCTGGTTCGTTATGTGGCTATCTGATCTACTTCTTTAACTAACATTGGGTAAAGGGGATGTACATACTCTGCACAATGATCATCTGGTTCGTTATGTGGCTATCTGATCTACTTCTTCAACTAACATTGGGTAAAGGGGATGTAGCGGTTATCGTGTAGGTCAGAAGTTTTTAGTGGTATTTGGGTTGGCATTGGCAGAGGGTTGCCTCCCTTTTGTTTTGGTCCCCCTTGCGAAACCAGATCATGGCTGAAAGCACATGTCATGTTGAACTTTGCGATGTCTTCTTCGATGGACATTCATGCGATGTGAGGAACCATGGTGTTCACAAAGTTGTGAAGAGAATGTGTACGGACAAGGTTTGCGACAACTTTGTATTTTAAATGAAGAATAAATGTTGGAACTTTTATAGATTGTGTTTTGCACGTGAGTTGCTTGGAAACCTAGCGGACTACCGCTATAGTGAACACCTCCTCTGAATGCAACTCGTGAATAGCAGAACATTTTACGATTCATGATGAGTGATAAAGTTTCAGTGATAAGTGGTTTGTTTGTCAGGACAGTCGGCAAAGTCACGTGACTCGCAAATGGCAGCTCAAGCGAAGGCAGCGGAATATCGTGTGCAGTTAGAATATGTTGAAAGGGAAGAGAAAACGCGCAGTGAACTTTTGAAACTTGAATTAAAGAAGAAACTTGATATTGAAAATGCCAAGTCACAGGTATTTGAACAGTTTGAATCGAGTGAAACATTTCTTTATGGAGCTAGTCCAGATAAAATCTCTCCCAATGTTAATGGACAGGCTGTAGAAATCAGTAAATATTGAGGAAGAAAATAAGACTGAACTTGTTAAGAAATATATTCAAACATTACCAAATGTTGATATTCAGAATTCTAACCAGGATCATGATAAAACATTTGATGGTGCAGATCGTGCTCAAACCCAGGAATCTATTCCACACCAATTTCTACAGGAGAAACACAAAGACAGACACAGCCATTTTCTTCAACGAAGCTGAATGTTGGTGCAGATGAATTCACACCCAAGTTTACACCTGATTGTGTTCCCAGAAGGTCTGAGATTTCAAATGTAGACTGTGTTATGGCTGCAGCAAGTGAGATTGCTAAAATGACTAGGACATTTGCAGAGAAGTTTAGTTTGAGTAGATTACCAGTTCCTGAACCTGGTATTTTCTATGGAAATCCCATTTATTTTCCTTCTTGGAAAACTGCCTTTGAAACTTTGATAGAAACCCGTGAAATTCAGCCCCAAGAAAAACTTTATTATTTGAAGAAATATGTTGGTGGCAGTGTGCGAGATGACCTAGAAGGATATTTTCTTATGAGAACCCCTGAAGCCTACGATGAAGCTAAACAGCTTCTTGAAGATAGATATGGAAATCAAGTTGTGTTAGGAGATGCATTCAGGGATAAACTAGATGCATGGCCGAAAATTAGTTGGAAAAATGGAACAGCATTGAGAAAGTACGCTGACTTTCTGAAACAGTGTTTGATTGCAACAAGAACTATTCCAAGTTTGAGAGCCCTCGACTTTGAGAAGGAGAATAGAATGTTAGTGTCTAAATTGCCAGACAA